TAAATTTTCATATTTACACACATAGCACTTAAATCTTTAATAACACAACAAAAATAGAACTATTAACACTTAATAAAAATGAAATATATTTTTCATGCAAAGGTTTAAAGCACCAAACTACTATGTATGCAAATATGAAAATCTAGATGTGAGATACGGGAATGCATAAAAACTGTGTGCAATGTATGTAATTTTTCCAAAGAAGAAACAGAACTCAAGCACAATAACTAATTATCATCAATACAGTAAAATCTCCATTGGCCTCGAAATATTCAACATGAAAGGTTACCTTTCACATAAACAAGTCTCTCAACTACAGGTAAAGTTTTGTCCTTGGAAGCCAATTGAAGCCTAAGAGCTTCCTTATGAAGAAGACTGTTATTGTGCTCTTCCAATGCACTCATCTGCATGTTTCTACTTCCCTCATTCCCATAAGGGTTTCTCCTGTGCTTCCTTCCATATTCTCTACAAACTGAGCAGAAAATCCTGGTTGTGCCGTCATGAACATCGACATAAGCCCATTTATACGTGTCCGCCCACTCTTCCCTCCACTTCTTCACCACCTTCTTCTTCCTCTTGGCCTGCGGCATTTTCCCTAGGTCATGCAGATCTTCACCAGGAATCTCAGAGGCCAAAAGGAGCTGTTTGTGATCTTCTTGTTCTTCGGCCGAACAGTCTTGTGGAGCTACAACCACAAGAGGTGTGCTAGTAAATGAAGGGTCATCATCACCTGGCCCTATTTCTAAGTCTATTTCTTCCCCTATTCCCCTCATTACCAATTGATGACGTTGAGCAGCCTGCCGCAGCAGATCGATCTCATCCATGGCGGAGTTCATCTCCGAACCCCAACCAGATACCAACATACAGCGCAAAGAACTTCACCAAAACAAATTTTCCATCACCCCCACAGAGAGAAAAATAGCAGAACACATTTACCCTGCAGGAAGATTCAAGAGAAAACCTAACTGTCCAAAACTTGAATCTCACTTCATCCAACAGCATAAAGAAGACGTGTTGAAAGCACCAAACTCAATCCCCACGCATCCAATCATAAAGCCCGTAAAAACCTAATCATCCCTTCGTAAAGAACCACCACCTTCCACTATGCATAGAAATCAACAAATTTCTCCAGCCCAGCACCATAACCCATCCAAAAAAAACAATTCACGGGCCCCAGTTATCTTGAAGCTAAATTGGAGCTATCGAATAACCTAAACTCAAATTCACAGATAACAGGAATACAAATTTCCACAGGATCCTTAGAAGGGTAGGCACCAGAGAACGACGAGCCAGAAAAAATCATCAGGATCCGTTAAATCGAGGACCCGCGGCCAATCGGAGTAAAAAACGCACCTTGGTAGCGTGAAAATTATAAGATAAGAAATCCCTTCTGCCTGCGTACCGCGCGGATAGATTGTTGATATCGATCAACGATAATTCTTACAAAAATTTTTCTCTACTTCTGTCGGCTGCTGCTCTACGATCGATTCCCGGCGATCGCCCTAGCGAGGTGGTGGAGACGAGTGGCGGCTTTGGCGCTAGGCTGTTAACCATCCCATTTCCAACCCGGATCAGATCAAATTCTCTCC